TTCACACGCGGGCCTCAGCCAGCTGCGGGCTCCCCACCTACCTGCACGGGGAGGGGGCCATGGCCAGGACCCGGGGTTCCCAGAGCATGGGGTGTGGAGGCCGAGAGCTGTGAACGCTGAGGATCGCCAGACGCCAGGCACCGGATGGAGAACCAGAGTCGGCATGTCCCTGGCCTCCAGCGCCAAAGGCCACGGGCGCCCCCAGCTGGCCTCCATGCCCAGCTTGCTTGCTGGGGGAGACTGCTCAGATTTGCCCTCTGGACAGGCCCCTGGTCCAGGTGGGACGCGAGAAGGAGCATGTGAGGGGCACCGCTGCCAGGCCAGCTGCTCTGGCGAGATGGTGGACGGCAGCTCAGAAGGGAATTTCCCAGGGGCCCTCTGGTCTGCGCTGCAGCCACTGGGAAAGGCAGGAGGCAGAGGGCAGCTCTGGGCACTGCCGTCGGGGTGGCACTTGCCTGCCCAGCGGGGGGCCAGTGTGGGGGCACAGGGCGTGAGGCTGGGGCACGCGGCAGCTGCAGACCAAGCGGGAGAAGGGATAGAGCTCAGGGACGTGGGAGCAGTTACCACCAAGGGCTTCCTGGGGACGGCTTCGGACTCCCCCAGATATGAGGTGCAGGATGTGGCGGGACCTCCCTCTGGGGCGATGGCTGTGTGTGTCCGGGCCCTCTAGGACAGCAGGGGCCGCAGTCGGGCCGGGCCTTGGGGCTGGGCTCCCAGCACCTAGGGCTGCACTGGCTCTGCCGTGGGGCAGACTCTGGTGGGGGAGGGCGCCCCGGTTGCAGCAGTGGAACACTGACACGAGCCCCAGGTTTCTGGGGTACACTGCAGTTGGCTGCTCCTGCCGCTCCCGGTCGGGACCTGCCCCTCCCCCGCGGGGTCAAGACACAACGGGGGTAGCCTGGTGCCAGGAGCGGCCCTGTGCCCTGGCCCCTCGCTCTTTCCAGAGCCCTCTCTGACCTCAATTGGCCATGGTTGGAGCCCGGATGCCCCTTTGGGACCCACAGACCTACTGACCAGCCCTTGGAATTGGGTTTTGATCACGTGTGATCAGAGAAGCCCAGTGGGCGCAGAGGAAAAGCTTGGGGGTTCACTTCCAAGCCCACGGCGGGGCTTGCTGCAAGCTCCAGGACCCGCAGTTGTGCGAGGCCACCAGGTGACCGAGGGAGGCCAGAGACTGGGGCAGGCTTCCCACAGCCCTGGACTAGATGAGGGTGGGTGCCCCCAGGCCCTGGAGGGGCCTGACCTGGGTGTGGGGCCGGCTGGGGTGCCTGCCCCTGCTGACGTCCATAAGATAGAAGGTCAGCCTATGGGAATGTAGGGGGCCAGAGCCAGGGGCGCCTTCAGGGGCCTGAGCAGAAGCCCGCAGAGGTGAGGTGGGGCCTCTGCCCGTGTCTGTAAATCCCATCATGCCCCCACCTGGTCAGTGGCAGGGGGCAGGGTGCTTAGGCCCTCAGGCAGTGTCCCCTCCAGTGTCTGTAGCAAACTGAAAGCACAGAGGTCATCACGTGTGTCCTGGGGTGGGGGGCACAAGACCTCAAGGCCTGGTCCGGCCAGGGGCCAGCCTCAGGCGCCTGTGGGCTGTGGCGGGGCCAGGACAGGTGGCTGCCGGCCAGGCGTGCCAGCCATGTTATTTATACTTGGACACATGCTGTGCCGGGCCAGGCACCTGGCCTGGAGTGCCACTGCCGCTGTGGTAATAGCTATAAATAAGGCCCGGTTCCTGCTCAGTCAGCCAGGAGCAGCCCCTGGAGCCCAAGGGTGACGAGGTGAAGGCAAACCTGACTCCATGGGAGCCCCGGGCTGAGGCCACACTCCCTCCGCTCCAGAACCCCCTGCTCCCCGCGGGTGGGAGCTCCTGCTGCCCCGCCTCCCAGACCCTGCCAGGTGCCAGCAGGGCGGTGGCCTCCTCGGCCAGTGGCTGCAGGTCTCCCCACCCCCCCCAGCAGAGCCTGGTCCTGAGCCTCCCCTCAACTTCCCTCCCACAGACGTCAGGCCTGATTTACGATGCCCCCACAAGCTGGGGGTGGACGCCTTGTCCATAAATAGCGCGGCCAGCAGGCGAGCTGGCCTGAACGCAGCTGCAGCTGGTGCCCTCACTGCCGCCTCTGCTCTGCGGTAGGCCCCGGGTCGGGCTCTGCCCTGGGTTGATGGGCTTCGGAGGGAGGGGGCTGGCCAGGCAGGGCTGGTGGCACTGAGCTCCTGCTGGGCTGACCGGGCCAGGGACGCGGGCCAGGACACCGGCAGATGCAGAGAGCCCGCGAGCCCTTGGGCCTGAGCCGCTCCGGCCGGACGGTGTCCCAGCCGCCACGTTCTCCGTTCCCGCAGCCCTGCCTTTGCTGTTAGAATATTCCAGAACCTGCTGGAGGATTTGCATCTCTCATTTCTGGGTTTGAAGTGTTTCCTGAAGGTCCCTGACTCAGGGGCGGGAGGCGTGACTTTCGCTGGGATCCAGGCCGCTGTGGGGTCAGGCCAGAGAGTGGGCGGCAGTGGGGTCTTTCCTGGGCGAGACCAGTCACCCTGCGGGGGCTGGGGGGGCGCCTCTGCTCCCCATTCCCACAGCGACATCGTCTCAGACTTGTTTCCTTGCTGGCTTTTTGGAGTATCCGGCCCCCGTAGTCCTCAAGTTGCCCCTCTGACAGCCTGACCCGCTGTGGCGCCACTGGCCCGGGCTGGACGCGAGCCTGCTGGGTGGGGGCAGCGAGCCCAGGAGACCCCACCCGCAGCTGGGCCTGAGCCGGCAGCTGGCCAGGGACAGTGCTGCTCTCGGGGGAACCGGGCGAAGGAGAGTCCGATGGAGCAGTAGCGTCTCCTGCCACTGCCGCTCTGTCGCGGGCTCTCTGCATCTGCCGGTGTCCTGGCCCGCGTCCCTGGCCCGGTCAGCCCAGCAGGAGCTCAGTGCCAGGCCGGGGAGAGGCGGCCGGTCTCTGGCTCTCCCTCCGAGCCCCACTCTGAGCCGACTGCTCGCTGTGTCACCGACGACGCTGTCACGGGTGCGTCTGCTCCCGGTCTCTTTGGGGAAACGTTGGCGCCGGTGAGAGGGAGCTGGGCCGAAGCCACCCAGGGCCCAGCTGCTCTGGGTCCAGCCAGCAGCTGCGGGTGGCCATCCAGACCCCCGGCCCGTCTGCATGGCCACCGCAGCTTCTATATGAAATGGACTAAATGCTTTGTGCTTTGCGTGACGCGTGTCACGAGCCAGAATTCTTGCTGGCATGGAAGCCGGGGCTGAGCTGTCACGGATGTGCGGCGGTCCCGGTGGGGGCCGGGTCCCCGGCTGCGGGCTTGGGGCGCCTTGGTGTCACCTGTCCTCCCGAGCATGTCCCGTGAGGACAGTGGGCTGGGGGCTGAGTCAGCGGGGGTCCCTGTTCCTGGGCGAGGGGTTTTGTCAACCAGGACAGAATGACACACACTTGTGTGTGCAAATCTGACCACACCTGTGGGGAAAACCCACGTGTACGTGCAAAGCTGGCCACACTCTGTCCCGGGAAAGTCCCGTTGCAGAGGCGAGACCCTGGTCCCGGGGTGGCCGCAGCCAAGGGCGGCCTGCACGGGCGTCTTGGGGAAGCCGGGCTTTGCCCTGCGGCTGCCGGGTCGCCTCCAGGTGACAGGCCCTGCTGAGGACGGCCGTGGCTCTGCTGCTGAGACGGGAGCGGCCCCGGACACCGCTTGGAGGTGACGTCCCTGGACAGGAGTGCAGGCTGGGTTCCTCGGCGAGGGCCAGCCCCTCCTGGTGGGCGGGGCCCTGCGCGGGGCTGGAGCAGAGCTGGTGCTGGCACCAAGCATGTGGACGCACTCGGGGCTTCAAGATGGCCTGTCGCCGGCCGCCGCTCAGTCTTGCGCCCTCGCCCTGGCAGGCGCAGCACCTGGGCCCATGTGTGCTCGTCTGCACTGCTACCCCAGGTCTCGGGGTTCCAGGGCTTTTCGGGGCAGTGGCTGTGGGCGGGGCCTTCACGGCCTCCTCCAGGGGAAGACCCCTGGGGCGGCGCGGGCTCTAGGCCCTGTCTCTGCAGAGCAGCAGGCGAGGGGCAGGGTGTGCCAGGGAGGCTGGTCCCAGCACAGAGCTGGCTGCCGGGGACCAGAGTGGGCCCCAGTGGGACAGGACAGAGGGTAGCCAAGGCCACGGTGATGCGGGCCAGAGTCCAGCCCCTTGCTGTCGACGGGAGCCCTTTGCTCTTGAGTGTGGGTGGGTGACAGTCGTGACGGTGGGTACTGGTTTTATCTACAGCTGTGTCTCTGCCGGACCCCCAGTGGGCCCGTGATTCTTAGCAGACATGTCGAGATGAGCCTTTTGGCGAGGTCTGGAGGCCCAGGTCTGGAGCCCAGTGACTGCTGTGCTGGTCCTTCCCAAGCCCTCCTTGTCTGTGTCCCCGCCCAGGACTGTGTCCCCGCCCAGGGGACTGTGTCCCCTCCCTGTCTCTGCCCCGCCAGGGTTCTGGTGAATGAGGGAATCTGACCGCGAGGACAGGATGGCTGTGGCTGTGTATTTGTGGGGCTTGCTGACTCCGGGGCCTGGTGGGCGGTGAGGGGCATGTCTCGCACAGCCCTGGCTGCCCTGTGTTCCTCCCAGCGCCTCCCTGAAGGCCGTGCAGGTTCTCTAGCCCAGGCACAGCTGGCCAGGCCTGGAGGAGCTCCCTCATGCCTTTGGGACATTTATGGTGGGGCTTTAGGGGTGCTGTCTTCATTAGGGCATTTTGGGGATAGCCCGGTCACCCAGCAGGTTAGCATTTTTCTAATATGGGGGAAATAGATGCCACAGGTGACCTTGGTGGTGCCTGACCCCCTGGCTGAGGTGGAGGTCAATCCCTCCTGGTCTGGGGAACTAGACCCAGGCCTCTCCACGTGGCCGGGGCCCCCACAAAGCCCTCCCAGAGGAGGCAGCGGGCCCTGGTGCCCAGCCCACCCAGCCTCGCCCTGCAGGGCTGGGTTTTGTGAGCTGGAGCTGCCGTGCCCTGTGGGAGCTGGGGCACGGGGCGGGGAGCTCAGCCCCTCTCCTGGCTCCCAGGTGGACTCCAGGATGTCGCTCCTCACCATGCCCTTCCACCAGCGGAGGCACAGGCACTTCGACCAGTCCTACCGCAACATCCAGACGCGCTACCTTCTGGATGAATACACAGCGAAAAGGTGAGTGGACTCAGGAGCAGACCCAGAGCCCATGACACAGGAACCCTCCGCATCCCCGCGGGCCAGGCCTGCTGCCTGGTCGCCCAAGCTCACCCACCCTTGTGAGTGCCAGGGCTGTGGATCTCCCAGAGCTGATCTAAAAAGTTCCCTGAGCAAGGGCTCGGGAAGGGGCTGAGGAGAAGGTGGTGGCGGGAGTCGGCGGCCGGGCAAGACTGTCCGTGGCACTCTGCAGCTATGCTGGTGCGGGACTCACGGCCTGGCGGCTGGCTTGGCCACCCCATGGGGTTCTGGCGCACAGCCCCGCCTCACGCGGGGAGCTGCGGCCACAGGGTGAGGGGCCCAGGACACGCTGTGAGGGCATGCGGCGGCCTGGGGCGCTTGGCAGGGGTCCCTGGAACCCTATATTTAGAACGGCCTTCGGTGCTGTGTCCCGTTGCCATCCCTGCAATAAACAAAGCCAAACACGGCCCCTCCCGGTCCCAGGGAGCTCCAGATCATGCAGACAGGCGTCGTGGCCCGGGGCCAGGGCTGCGGGGGCCACTGGGGCTCACGGTCTGCAAAGCCGCTAAGGATGGCTCATGCTGACAGGCACATGTGTTCACTGCCAGTGGGTGTGCATGTGTGTGTGCACAGGAGGGGGACACCCTTTTTGGTGTAAGGAGAGGGGAGTGGGTCCCTCCTAAGCATGCACACATGTGTACCCGTGTTTGAGCACGCAAAAGGCAGTGCACAGATAGTGGGTGCACATGCACACACGCATGTGTGCATACACGCACTGTGCACACATGTGTGAGGCAGCTTCCATGTATGCACGTACGTGCACATGTCTGTTTGCCAGCACACACGTGCATCTGCGTGTGCATGCAGGGGATTGTGTGCAGTCCATGTGCACAGGTGGTCACGTGCACACTACTTGCATGTGTGCTAGCCAGTGCGTGTGCATGGCGTGTGCTCGCTTCCTTCACCGCCTGCTGCGTCCCCTGTCTGCCAGGCGGGCTTCCACCCAGTCGTCCTCCCAGAAGTCCTCCTCGGGGGCGTGGTCCTCCCAGAGAGCCTCCCCACTGCTGCCGCTGGGGGGCGCCACCTGCAGGGTCTGCAAGAAGCGGCTGGACACCTCCTGGGCGGGGGAGGAGCCGGAGAAGCCAGAGGAGCCGGAGGAGAGGGGCAGGTGGGCGCCTGGGGACCCTGCCTGGGCCGTGGGCGGGCGGCCGCTGGGCGGCTGGTGACAAGAAGGCGCTCTCGCCGCGGTCCGCTGCCCTTCCTTCTCCCGCGAGCGCCCTCGGCCCAGTTCTTCCAGGGGGAAAGCGCTGCGGGCGTGGCTCCCTCTGTGGGGTGGACGAGCCCAGGGTCGCCAGGTCCTGTGGGCTGGGCGCTGCCCCGCTGCCCTCCTGCCAGTGTCCAGCCCCAGTGCCCAGCCCTCATGGTGAGTGTGGGGGCGCTGGGGTGTGCTCACCCCGCTGGGGGGCGTCTGCGGCCTGGGAGCGGTCCTCTGGGCCTGCGTGTGTCCAGCACCTGCTGCTTGTCTGTGAGGACCCGCACCTGAAGGGCACCCCAACTCCAGCAAATAGTGGAGCCCTGACACCCAGGGGAGCCCAGGCCGGGACCCCCTTTTTGGTGTAAGGAGAGAGTGGGTCCCTCCTAAGCAGGTCTTGTACAGGCCCTGCCCACCCTCCCTCTGGAATGGGCGTGCTCTGGAGAGGGGTGCTCTGGAGGGGAGGCACACTGGGAGGGGGCGCTCTGGGAGGGGGCGCTCTGGGAGGGGGCGCTCTGGGAGGGGGGAGCTCTGGGAAGGGGGCGCTCTGGAAGGGGCGCTGTGGGAGGAGGGAGCTCTGGGAGGGGACGCTCTGGGAGGGGCCTCCCTCCCTTGTTCCGGCCCGCGGGGTCCGCCTCAGGCCCCCCCTGCGCCCCCCCGCCCCTCCCCCCCCACACGCTCAGGGGCTGTGCTTGCAGGTTCCGGTCGGCGGCGGCGGCCTACGGCGAGGCCAAGCGGCGGCGCTTCCTGGGCGAGCTGGCCCGCATGGAGGACAGCGTGCACCTGGCGCGCGCCCAGGCCCGGGACAAGCTGGACCAGTACAGCTTCCAGCGGCTGGTAGGCCCCGCGCGGGGCTGGGGCGCCCGCGCCCCCGCTGCGCACCGACCCGCTGCTCCCGCAGGTGGAGGACGCGGGCTCCTGGGACCGGCGCGTGTCGGACATGGCCATGCGCAGGGCCCCCGAGATCCTGGTGGGCCTGCGCGCGCACACGGTGTGGGAGCGGATGTCCGTGACGCTCTGCTTCACCGTGCAGGGCTTCCCCACGCCCGTGGTGCAGTGGTGAGCGGCGCGGGTCCGCGGGGCGGGGGATGCAGGGCCGGGGTGCAGGGGTGGCGGGGTGCTCAGGGGTCGTGGGGTGCACGGACCCGATGGGCGAGGCCGTCAGGGACCCAGGCCTTCCATTTCGGTGTCGAGGGCGCGAGTCAGTGTCGCGGGCTGCGCTGCCCATGCTGCTGCCCGAGGCGCCTCTGGAGAGCTGGGCGGCCGCCCCCGTGGCCCCGCTTGCCCCCCGCTGCTGCCGCTTCCACAGCGCGCCCGGGCCTCACTGCGAAACCGGCGCCCGGGCAGGGCCGCCTGCTCTCCCCGGCGGGCCAGGCTGCCCTCAACCTCGGCGCTCCGTCGGGGCCCTGAGCCGCCGCCCGCGGTCTCCGCGCCCTGTTCAGACGGTCTTCAAGGCTGACCTGTCCGGGGCGTTTCCGTTTCTGCACGTGGCGCGCTCCCGGCACCTGCGCCCCCACACCCGGCGCGACGGCAAAGCCCGGGTCGGGCCGAGGGGTGTCGCCGGGCGGCAGGACCGGGGCGGCCGACGCCGGCCACACCCTCCGGGGCCGCCGCGGTCAGGCCGAGCGGGCCTTCCCCGCGCCTCCCCTCCCGGGGCCCCGCGCCCGCCTGGCCTGGGAAGGCGCTGGCCCAGGGGTGCGCGGGCTCCCGAACGCCGCTCGCCCCCAGGTACAAAGACGGCAGCCTCATCTGCCAGGCGGGGGAGCCGGGCCGGTACCGCATCGACAGCAAGTACGGGGTGCACACGCTGGAGATCAACAGGTGAGGCACCCCGGCCCCGGCCCGCCCTCCCTGCACGAGGGCGCTCCCCGACGCTGGGCGGGGTCCCCGGGGCTGCGCCCCACTGCGGGGACTTGGACGCGGTGAGGGGTCCTTAGGATTTGCGGGGGGGGGGGAATGGGGGTGCCGCACGAGGAGGGCCCGGGTGGGCGGGGCCTGGGCGGGGCCGGGCAGGTGGGGCCTGGGCGGGCGGGTCTCGCTCCCGCGGGCTGGCCTCTCCCAGGCCTGCTCCTGGGGGGCGGGGGGCGGCTGCCCGCGGGAGCGTGTTCTCGGGGCTGCTCTCCGTCGCTGACCCGCGGTCAGTGCGGGCCGGAGTCGGCTGCCCCGAGGCCTGGGAGCGAGTCAGCCGGTGCCGAGGGGCTCAGACGGGGTGCGCGCCGCGCCACAGCTCAGGGGACTTGGGGGACTTGGGGAAGGGACCCCGAGATTGGCCTCTCTCTGGCTCTCGTCCACCGGGGTGTCTGTGGGGGGAACGCCAGCCCGTCGGGCTGGGGCCGCGGGCGCAGCACCTGTCGGCCCGGAGTCCAAGTGCTGAGTCCTGGTCACCCGACCCCGCCGGTGCGCCCCGCCCCCAGCGCGCTCGCGGGCACCGCCGGGCAGGCCCTGCGGCCTCTGCTGCCAAATTCTTGACGTTCCCGCGGCAGCTCTCGGCCCTTTGCATGGACTGTGATCCGCGCTCCTTCCCACGCTCATGAGGTGCTCATGGATCCCCTGCTGGGATCCGGACGGTGGGCTCTGCCTCCCCAGGAGCCCGGCTGGGCCTGAGTGGCGGGCGCTGCCCTCTGTGCCCCGCGACCCCTCAGGCCCCTCACCCCCTGCCCGCGGACCTTGCCCACACTTTGTTTTTAGACTTTGATATTCAAATTCCTATTCAAGGTAAATCTTCAATCCAGAGTCGGCACCACTTCCCTGGAGGTCGCGCAGGTGGAGCCCCGAGGTGCTGGCCCCCCTTGCCCGCCCTCTGCCACTTCACCAGACCGGGTGGGGTGTCCCCCTCAGCAGTCTGAGTGGGGCTGCAAACCAGACTCTGGGGCTGCAGGTGCCCCAGGGACATTTGTGCCAGTTGAGACCAAGGAAACTCTCCTTTGCTGGGAACAGGTCCAGGCAGAAAGCAACACCCTGGGCCCTGGGGAGGGGGGGGCAGTGAGGTGGGGGCTGGGGGCAGGCGTGTGGGTCAAAGGTCACAACCTCAGTTCCCGAGGAGGTTGTCTTGAGTTGGGCACGACCCTCACGCGCTCCCCTGTCCACACTGTCCAGCGCCCCCTTGTGGCCCCTCCCCCCTCCCCAGACACCCCCAAGGCGTCTGCATGCTGCGGGCTCCCAGGCACCTTCTGCAGTAGAAACGTGGGACAGAGAAGAGAGGGAGCAGCAAGGTTGGGCTTCCCCCCTGAGACCCCCACCTTTCCCTCTCCCCTGCCCTAGGGACTTCCCAGAAGGTCAGCGGGTGGGTCTGGATATTTTAGGGGCTCAGCTTTCTTCACCAGCTGGGTGAGGCGCAGGTCCCTCTCTGGAAGAGGCATGGAGCCCAGATGTGGGGGTTGGTATCTCTGGGTGGAGTCTGGGTCCCCTGCGTGCTGGGCCCCGTGTATGCTGCTGCGCTAAGCCCTCAGAGGAACTGGCACTCACAGGCTCATTAGTGCTAATGTGTCAGGCCGCCCTCCCTGAGGCCCTAATGTGGTAAGTCCCTGAAAACCCAGCTGGGAATCCAGAGGCCTGGCGCTGTGCCTCCTCACCAGCCTCATCTCTCCCCTCTACCGCACGCCTGTTTCCTCCTGACTCCCCTCAGCCGTCCCAGCTAAGGGACCCCATAATAGCAGCAACGGAAACACTCCAATCCTGCGCGGTTCAGGTGGACCAGAAGGCCAAACAGGCCACTGGTGGGGAGGGAAAGGGAGGTGACTGGTCCTGGGGCCCCAGCCCGGCCAGCACACAACCTCAGTGGTCAGTTCGTCAGCCACCAGGCCTGAGCGAGGTGCAGTGGGGGACGGCACCTGGGAGAGCCAGGAGACCTCTCAGAGTAGGCCGGAACCCCTGGTGCTCAGCAGCGTCTTCCAGGTCTCCTCTGGTCACTGCACCCACCGGAGACATAGCTGCGTGAGGCCCTGACTGTGCCTGGCACCCTAAGAAAACCCAGCCCATCACCCTGTTAACTAGGTGAGGGCAGTGCTGGCTGGGTCTTCGGCGTGGAGCCCGGCGGGCGTCCTCGGGGCTGGGACACGGAGCCCATCCTGAGCTCAGGTGCCTGCAGCCCCTGACACGCAGTTTTCCAGAACACTGGCCTCTCCCATTTGCTGCAGCTTCTGGGGGCCCCAGCTGCACCTTCGGGGTGCCAGCGCGCCTTCTCCAGCCTGGTGTGGCCTCGCTAGTGGGGGTTATTGCTGAGTAAAGTGTGGAGGCCTACAGGGAAAGAAGGGGCCTCACTGTTAGAAGAGATGCACCCCTGTAGGATGAGCCAGGAATAAAGCTCAGCACTGCGGGGGAGAGGCCCTTGTGGCCGGCTGAGGCAGCGCTGTCCCCCGTGGGTTTCTGCGTCACACCCCCCACGCCCTGGGCGCCCGGGAATCGCAGGGGGAGGGCGGGACATGGTCAGGCTGTTCCAGCCGCCTAAACAGGCAGCCCTGCGCTCGACAGAAGCCTGGTGTCCCTGCTGCTCCTTGCATCCCTGCCGGCCGGTTCTCTGTGAGGACGGGGCACATCAGGGAGAACAGGGTCTGCCCACCTGGGCTGCCGCTGGTGCAGGCAGAGGGCGCCTGGAGAGGCTGCCAGCCAGGCCCTTCCTGGTTCCTTCGGATGTGCCCAGCGGTGGGGGCAGGGCACCTTCCCATGGTGTTTGGGGTTCTGACACAGCCCCACCGTCTGGGAAGGCAGGACAGACACTGCTTGTCTCCAAGCCATGTGCCTGGCCGTGCCAGAATGTTTGGTTCCTGGCGCTGCTCTGGTTCTGTGGGACTTGGGGAGTCCTCACCCCTCTTCCTGGGTAGGAGAGCCCCAGGGGCACTGAGGGATGGGTGCAGTAGTCTGTGGGCGGGGTGACCTCTAGGTGAAGAGGTGTGCGGGATTCAGACCTGCCTGTGGGGCCTCAGCTGCTGGGCCATCCCAGTGAGGCAGATGCTTCCGGCTCACTCCAAGCGCCCCACCCATTCCTTGGCCACCAGAGTCACCCTGGAGGTCTGGGAACAGGAGGCCCTAGGGAGGGTCCTGCGAGGTCCAGGGGCAGCATCCTGGACCTCTGCTCTTCCCTCCTGCTGTGCCCCCATCCCCCTGTGGGGGGCCGCCTGCCCCCACCTCTGCCAGGGCCTGCGCCTCACAGTGCAACCCCCTCCCCCAGCCGCACCTGCCCTACTGCATGGGCCCCACGTCCCCCTCTGCGTGTCCCCCTCCGCTCCCCCGCATGCGCCGCACCCCTGGCGCACCCCGCCCCCGTGGCACCAGCTGGCTCTCCCTCCAGGGCGAGCTTCGACGACACCGCGACCTACTCGGCAGTGGCCACCAACGCGCACGGCCAGGTGTCCACTAGTGCGGCGGTGGTGGTGAGAAGTGAGTGAGGGCCAGGGTGCCGCCCGCCCCGTGCCCGCCTGCCCTGCGCCCGCCCACGCCCGCCCACTGCCGTGTCTTGCAGGGTTCCATGGGGACGAGGACCCGCTCCACTCCGTGGGACTCCCCATCACGTGTGCGTCCTGTGTTAAAAGAATCATGTTTCGGAGGCCTTGGGGACATGCACAGGGACGCACAGGCCTTTTCAGAGCCCGAGGTGTGGCCTGAGCGTGCCAGGCCCAGTCCCCGCCCTGGACGTGCGCCCCGTTTCCTGCTCCCCCTGCGCATTCCCAGGCGACGTCCTTGAGCAAGGGTGCGCGCCGGTGCCCTCCCTCCCACCGCGCGGCGTCGGAGCAGCGCCGCGCCCGCCGGTCCACAGGCTGACGGGTCAGCACGAGGTCCCTGTGTGCGAGGCCCCTGCCCGCGGGAGGCCAGGCCAGTCTCCTCCGGGCCCAGGGGCGCCTAGCCCGGACAGGAAGGTCTGGGTCCACTGAGGTGGCCCCGGCCAGGGCGGCCGCGGAGTCCCGAGGCCCGTGCGTCCCCGCGCGTGTCCCCACGTGTCCCCTGTGCCGCGGTGCCCCGGCGGGTGTGCCCGGCCTCCCGTGAGGGTGCGCTTTCTCCGCACAGTGCCGCTGTCTTCTGTGGTTCCCCACACCCACTTCGACGTCCAGTTTCTGGAGAAGTTCGGGGTCACCTTCCGCAGGGAAGGCGAGACGGTCACCCTCAAGTGCAAGCTGCTGGTGACGCCGGATCTGAAGCGGGTGCGGCCGCGGGCCGAGTGGTACCGGGACGGTGAGCGGGCCGGGGGGCGGCGTCCGGGCACGGGGACCCCGAGTCGGTGTGGGCGTGGCGTCCTCGCGGCCCCCAGGCCAGGCAGGGGCGGCTGAGGGGCGCCTGGGGCGGGGCCTGGTCCGGATGTCCGGGCGGCCAGGGCCCCAGGGGCGGGCGGGGCAGGCAGGGGCGGGCGGGGCGGGGCGGCCAGCGCCCGGCCGCGTGGGGGCCGTGACCGGCCTCTCGGGCGCGCTGGCGGCGGCTCCCCGGGCGGGGCCCCCGGCGCCGACCCCCGGGCCTCGCGGGCTCAGCGCCGCCGCCCGCCCCGCAGACGTGCTGCTGCGGGAGTCCAAGTGGACCAGCATGTTCTTCGGGGAGGGCCAGGCCTCGCTGAGCTTCAGCCACCTGCACAAGGACGACGAGGGCCTGTACACGCTGCGCATCGAGTCCCGGGGCGGCGTCAGCGAGCACAGCGCCTTCCTCTTCGTGAGAGGTGCGGGCGGCGGGCAGGGGCGGGGCCTGGGCGTGGGGCGGGGCCTGGGCGTGGGGCGGGGCCTGGGCGTGGGGCGGGGCCTGGACGTGAGGGGCGGGGCCTGGACTGAGGGAGGGGCCTGGGCGTGGGGGCGGGGCCTGGGCGTGGGGCGGGGCCTGGGCGTGAGGGGCGGGGCAGGGTGTCAGCAGGAGGTGCCCGGCCCAAGTCAGGACCCGCACCCCCCCTCCCCGCCCCGGCACCGCGGGGTGCAGGCTTGCCAAGGGGGGCAGTGGGCGCCATCCCCCCTCCGCGTGGGCACCGCTGGCGCCGCTGGGTCCCTGGCGCCGGCCCTCGGCGCAGCCCGGAGGCCCCTCCGCAGCCGCCCCCCCCCCCCCCCCCCCCGTGGGCGCGCCTGTGCGCGGGCCGGCCCCGTGCGAGCCTACCTGCGTGTAGGTGTGCTCCTGCCACACACGCGCCGCGCGATGCACGCACGCGCACAGCGCAGCGCAGTCGGGCGCACGCGCACGTGGGGTGCGGCGCCCTCGAGGCCGCGTGAGGCGAGCGCGCTGCAGCCCCGGAGGCGGCGCGAGGCCGGCGTCTTGGGCCCTCTGGGCGCGGTGGGGCTGGGCCTCGTGCTCCCGGCGTTCCGGGGTGGCGGCTCTGGGGGCTCTTCTCCTCTCGGCCCCCGACCCTCCTGCTTCTGCCCAGGACACCGCTGCCCCGGCTCGGCGGGCACAGGTGGAGGCCGCCAGGCGGGGCCCCTTCCATCGGCTGGCGCTGCGGCGTGGCTCCCACCCCCCAGTGCCTCGCCCAGCCCCATCACCGCACCCCTGCGCTGCTGTGTGGCTCCCCCCACCCCTGTCACCGCATCCCTGCAGTAGCTGGTGGCTGCTCCCCTCAGGTCACCCGGGGCTCTGGGACTCTGCTCCCCCACACGTCCCCATCCCCAGTGCAGGTGACTGAATACCCCCCTATAAATATGTCTCCCCAGAGCAGACCCGTCATCTCACAGCATGAAGCAGGTGGGGGGGCTGCATTGTCAGGGGATTTTCTGCTTAAAAAGAAGCTTAAATAGACCCGCCTGCGCCCCACCCACCAGCAACTCTGGGGGTGTGAACTTCAGGCTGGGACTTCAGACGCCTGCCCCCCATTTCTGTCAGCTCGTGGGCCCTGGTGACAAGCTTCCACTGAGGACGTGGTGTGCCCTGTGGGCTCCAGCTGCTGACTCAGCGCAGCTTGGTAGCGCAGCTTGGTCGCCCAGACTGCTCTGCGGACTGCTCTGGTGTCCAGGCGAGAGGGACATGGCCAGTGGTCAGGGAGTCCTCGGCTTCTCACTGGGGCACTTGAGCAAGAAGTTGCAGGAAGCAAGAACCTGAAGAAGTGCAGCCGCTGGACAGGACCGCCCACTTTCAGCAGGCCGGCCTTCCAGAAGGTTCTGCAGCTAAAATCTGGGTGCAGCACCCCACAGTGCTGACATCACGGCACACTGGAGGGCAGGAGCAAGGATGGCTGATCGCATGCTTGCAGCTAGTGGAGAAGAAAATTATCCTCAGAGTTTCTAAGAATTTGAAATGGTAGTTTTTAAGGTGCCGTTTCTCGGCTGCTGAAAAGGCCACGTTTTCTTCTCATTATTAAGCTTTGACAACCTGAGCTGAGGTGACACAGGCATCGAGACGGGGGCTCCACGTTTGGGTCCAATCTTGGGGACTCTCAGAGCTGGGCCCAGGCCCAGCCTGCACCTGCCCGTCAGTGCCCCCTGGTGGCAGCTGAGAGGACTGGATGGACCGTGTCCCCTCGCTGTCCCCAGACGCTGACCCGCTGGTCACAGGCGCCCCCGGCGCCCCCATGGACCTGCAGTGTCTTGACGCCAACCGGGACTACGTCATCGTGGCCTGGAAGCCGCCCAACACCACCAGCCAGAGCCCGGTCATCGGCTACTTCGTCGACCGGTAAGGGTGCCGGCGTGGGCAGGAGGGTTGCCGGCGTGGGCGGCTCCTGAGAGGGGCTGGCGCCTTCCTGGGGGTGGGCCCGGCCCTGGTCAGTGCTCGGCAGAAATGGATCCCCAGCTGCAAGTCGGCGGCTTAGGGCCGGCAGCCAGTTCCTGAGAGGGCTGCAGGTTACACTTGTGCACACACAGTGTACACACTGAACGCACGGTGACGATGGTGCACGCAGCGCGTAAGCACCACATGTAGGCTTGCACCATCCATGTGCAACGATGTGCACACATGCCTTCGTGGACACTGAATACGTCTTGCACACGTGTGTGCATGCCATGTGTGCAGTCACTGTATACACGCCACACGCATACACACCACATATGTATGTGCACATCCGTGTGCACATGCTGCGTGCAGCCTCTCCCCACGAGCTGCCTGACTCCCTGCACCCCGCCTTCTCCCTGATCGCAGCTGCGAGGTAGGGACTGACAACTGGGTGCAGTGCAACGACGCCCCGGTGAAAGTCTGCAAGTACCCTGTGACTGGGCTCTGTGAAGGCCGTTCCTACCTGTTCCGAGTGCGGGCGGTCAACAGTGCGGGCGTCAGCAGGCCCTCCAGAGCCTCGGGGGCTGTGGCCGCCCTGGACCCCGCCGACCTCAGACGGCTGCAAGGTGGGTGGCCCGCTTGGCTGATGGCATTGCTGGGGTGCTTCCCTTGCCCCACCCCTGGAGCACAGCCCGGCCCGGTGCGGGGTCCTCTCGGCGTCCCTCCAGGAGCCTCCAGGCTGCTGTTCACCTCAGAGGCCACGCCGGTCACCCTCGCGGTCCCTACTGCCTCCGTGGCACCTCATCAGCCTGGCTCAGGGGTGGCTGATCTGAGTGCAGCAGGACACAGATGGGGTCAGGCCTCAGCCCTGGGCTTTCAGTTCACCTAGCACAGGCTCCTGCAAGGCCCGCCCTTGCCTTGTGGTCCAAGTGGCCACCCTACCTTCCCCACTGGCCAGGCTGGGATGTCGTTCAGAAGGGAGGCCGAGGGGCACTGTGTGGGCTGCTCCAGCCCAGGGTGAGCGCAGCGCCCACCGCACAGTGGTGACTCGGCCTCTCCTACAGGCCATGCCCGCTCTTGGGAAAACTTTGGTGCTGACTTGGCATGTCTTTCTCTCCGCAGCGGTCCATCTGGAGGGGGACAAAGACATCGTCATCTATGAGGATGAGCTGGAAGGTAAGGGGCTACTGCTTGCATCACTGCCCACACCCGGGGTGGGGCTGTGGGGGGAGAGGGGCGACAAGAGGGGGGCAGGGCTGGGTGTGGGGTGGAGACCCCACCCTGTGGGGGCAGGGCTGGGCCTGGTGTGGAGACCCGCCCCTTAGGAAGCCTGTGTAGGCGGCCCCCACTTGGTGTTCCATCCGGAAAAGACAGGCGCGGGAGCACCTCGGACGGCAGACAGTCTCAACGCTCCTTGCAGGAGGCTGTGGCCCCTGCTCCAGGGTCCCAACTATTTATTCAGCAGAGGTTTCAGAGCTTTGAACGTGGTTGCATGATCCAGGGTGGCAAAACGCAGGGGCTTTGCAGGTCTCCGAGCGTGAGTGGTCGTGGTCAGCCGGGAGATGAGGCAAGGGCCTGGGGTCTGAAGCCTGGCCCTCCGTGCCTGCCCCGCTTGTCCTGGCTGCAGGCGACTCTGGTCTGCTTCAAGGCCCTGTTTCTCTGGGCGAGTCTCCCCCTTCCGCTGAAGCTCCACTAGCTTCTGGGTTAGTCTTTCCCGATGCTGGCTGTGGCCCTGACCGCTGCTCCGGGGACAGCCTTGCGAGTTGTTTGCCTTGGGCTCACCTGGGCTCACCTGGGCTCTCCTGGGCTCACTGGGCTCTCCTGGGCTCACCTGGGCTCACTGGGCTCACCTGGGCTCTTTGGGCTCTCCTGGGCTCACTGGGCTCACCCGGGCTCTCCTGGGCTCACCTGGGCTCACCTGGGCTCACTGGGCTCACCTGGGCTCTGGACTCTGTTGTTTCCCAGGCGACGTGCAGATCCCAGGTCCTCCCACCAACGTGCACGCCTCAGAAACCAGCCAAACCTACGTGGTCCTGAGCTGGGAGCCCCCGGTCCCCCGGGGCAAGGAGTCCTTGACGTATTTCATCGAGAAGGTTGCCTGGCCTTGCTGAGACCCTGTGACTGCGCCATGCTCTAAGAGGGTGGCGGGTCCCCGGGATTTCACCAGACATCACCCGCTGCCTTCTGGGGAGCAACTCTCTGACCACACCCCGGGACATGCTCCACCGCCCACATTCCCGCCATGCTGGGGGGGCTGGCTGAGGGGCAGGAGTGGGTGGGTCTCCGAGGGAGGTGGGCGCTGGGAAGCATGTCCAGGTCCCTGCTGCAGCCATCCAGCAGGCCCCTCGTCTCTGCGTCCCAGAAGCTCAGTGAAGGGTGGGGCTGAGGCCCTCCCTGGGGGAACACTCTGGCTCCCAGGCTGAGCCTTCTCTGGGGAGCCACGAATCCTGCTGTGCTCTCAGCCCTGTGGTCTCTGCTGGGGGCGACTTCGGACAGGGCAGGGCCGAGGCTGCTGGTCACAGCTGATTCCTGGACAGAGACAAGTAGATGGTGTGTATGGCCCTGTGTGCACACTCACACTCAGACACACTCACGGACACTCAGCACAATCAGACTCACACTCAGACTCGCACTCATAGACACACACTCAGACACACTCACAGACTCACATCCACACACACACATACAGACACACTCACAGCCACTCAGACACACTCACACTCAGACTCACGCACTCACAGACTCACTCAGACACACAGACTTACATGCACACACTCATATACAGATACACTCAGTCACACACTCAGACACACTCACACTCAGACTTGCACTCACAGATTCCCACTCACAGATACTCGGACACACTCACATACTCACGCTCAGACTTGCACAGACACGCTCACAGGAACGGCTGCCAGCTTACCCTGCAGAGTTGGGCGAGGGGCGGCTCCTGCAGAGCTGGGGTGTCAGCGGAGCCGTATGCAGCGCGCGGCACGCTGAGCAGAACATGTGGCCCCTGGTCCCTCAGAGCTGGCCGCTCAGTGACCGGGGCGGCCTGGCTGACCCGGCATGTGGCTGGGCGGCCTTGTCAGCCGCCAGGGCGAGCAGCACAGCTGGGAACAGTCCCTCTTGGGCCACGTAGGGCTCCCCTGGAATGGCCTCCATTGCCCGAAGTTCTCCCATGTTACTGAAACGATGGCTCTGGTGCTGGCCCCTTGGGTTCTGGCAGCCGATTGTCCGCTTCTGTCGGGACAGCGCCCGTGTCCTTTCCTGGCTGGAAGCCCTCCCTTGCCCGCTTGTCTGCTTGGCTTCACTGCCCGTCAAATTCAGCGGAGCTCTCCAAATTCAGTGGGCGGGGCCTGGGGCGTCCCCTGCCCAGTGCCCTAGAGGGGGTGGGCGGGCCCCGGGGTGTCCCCTGGCCACTGGCCCGCGCCAGCCGGTCCTTCCGTCCCCCGCAGTCGGTGGTGGGCAGCGGCAGCTGGCAGCGGGTCAACCCCAAGACGGCCGTGCGCTCGCCCCGCTACGCCGTCTTCGACCTGGCCGAGGGGAAGCCCTACGTATTCCGGGTCCTGTGTGCTAACAAGCATGGCCTGAGCGAGCCCTCGGAGGTCACGGCCCCCATCCAGGTGCAGGACGCCATGGGTGAGTGGCCCTGGAAGCCGCCCAGAGGGGTTTCTCTGCCACATCTGCTCCCAGACCTTTCCCCAAGTGTGGCGTTTTGTTATGAAACCGGGAAATAGGTGGGAATATTTAAAACCCTGGCCCCAAGCCCAGGAGCTTCCTGTGGGGTGGCCGAAGGCCCTTCGGGGCGTCAAACATGAAGCTGCACGAGAAACCCTGGGGCAGCTCAGGCCCCGCCTCTCGCGCCCCCATGCATCTGGGGGACTGGCAGTGCCCACGACACTGCCCAGGGCTCAAGCCACAGTGCCTGTCAGTCCCCGGCAGGGCGCACGGTCTTCCCCTCCCCCACACGCAGGCCCTTTGCCGGCCTGACCTGGTGACTTGAGGTGTTAAAGTTTTTCTTCTTTCACTTTGTCACCTGATTGTTTTTTTTCCCTCTGTCTGCCCCGAGGGTGCTTGCTCGAGTCTGAGGTCTGACTTTGTGATCAGCAGTTGCAGATGCCCCTCAGTGGCTCCCCTGTCCTGAGGCTTGCACGTCTCGCCAGGGCTTTGTGCCGTGGTGGGGTGGCCGCTGTCCCTCCTGTGACTGGCTTTCTCACCTGGGAGCTGGCAGGGACTGGTGGAACAGAGGCAGGGACAGGCAGGGACTGCCCAGCACCAGCACCCACTCTGTCCACTCTGGGGCCAGCTCACCCTGCTTCTCCCTTCCTTCTGCCTGCTCATGTTTCACTGCAAGCCCCACACCTGGGTGTCCACCCTGTGGAGAAAGGCTGGGCGGTCGGGGTGTGCCTCCCAAGCTCTAGCCCGTCTCCATGTGTCCTGTCTCCTCCCAGCCGTCCCCTCTGCCCCTGGCCGGGTGCTGGCCTCGAGGAACACCAAGACCTCAGTGGTGGTGCAGTGGGACCGGCCCAAGCAGGAGGGTGACCTGCTGGGCTACTATGTGGACTGCTGCATGGCGGGGGGCAGCCTCTGGGAGCCCTGCAACCACAAGCCCATCGGCTACAACAGGTGCGTATGCCAGCGGCGGCCCCTGTGGGTAGGGCAGAGAAAGGAAAACCGGGACCCATAGAGCAGCGGGACCCCCAGAGTACTGCGATCTGCAGAGCACTGCGGGCAGGGGGGCTGCGCAGGGCCCTGCTGTGCTGGGGAGCCATGCAGGTTCTGCTGGGGACCCTGTCCCCTTGCTGCCCGCAGGGCGTGGGGCTCCTGCTGGCCACTTGGCTGAAGAGACGAGTCTGTTGAAAGAAGAGCTAGAACCGGCCAGCTCTGAGAGTCAGGCTCGATCAATTAACTAAAGCTGAAGTGGCCGCCCGCAAATGCCGGCACTCCGAGCGTGAGCTGCCCTTTGCCCACGTGGTCTTTTGTAGGGGGCACTCAGGATGCTGTGCCTGGGCGGAAAGGCCACCAGCACCTGCCCTGCGCCCCCTGATCTCTGCCGTTCCCCAGGTTCGTGGTGCATGGCCTGACCCCCGGGGAGCAGTACATCTTCCGTGTGAAGGCTGTGAACGCCGTGGGCTCCAGCGAGAACTCCCAGGAGTCGGAGCCCATCAGGGTGCAAGCCCCCCTCAGTGAGTAGCCCTCCCCCTCCTTGGGCAGAGCTGGCACCTGGAAGTCACACAGGCAGTGAGTGGGCGTTGTGCTGGGCAGGAGCAGCGGTTCCTGGGGACCTGGTCCTCCACTGTGCCTGGGGGTGTACGTTGGGGTGTGCGCACTGGGGGGGTGCATGCTGGGTGTCATGGGGATACACTAGGAGAGTGGGGGTGCTGGGTGTGCCAGGTGGGGCTGGGGGGCAAGCACTGGGAGAGTGGGGGGCACTGGGGGGCATTGGAATTATGGGGTGCTGGAGGGGCACTGGGGATCACTGGGGGCACTGGGAGAATAGGGGCACTGGGGGTGCTGGGGAGGCACCAGGAGAGTGGGGGCCACTGGGGGGTGCCAGGGGGCACTGGGGGGGTGCTGGGAGCACCAGGAGTATGGGGGCGCTGGGGGTGCTGGGAGAGCAGGGGTGCTGGGGGGCAATGGGAGAGTGGGGCATGGGGGTGCTGGGGGTGCCACGAGAGCGGGGGTGCCTGGGGACACCAGGGGGCATAGGGGATGACTGATGCGGGAGGCGGCCAGGACCCCAGTAATGCCCCCCACAGCTGTGCCGTCGCCCCCCTATGGGATCACGCTCCTCAGCTGCGACGGCCAGTCCATGACCCTGGGCTGGAAGGTACCCAAGTTCAGCGGCGGCGCGGCCATCCTTGGCTACTACCTGGACCAGCGCGAGGCCCTACAGGACCGCTGGCATGAGGTCAACCCGGCGCCGGTCAGCGAGTGCATCCTCACGGTGGGTGTCCACTGCTCTCCCCAGACTGCTCGGCTGCTTCCCGGGGGCAGGTCCTCAGCAGCATCGGGCCCCAGGGCGGGGCAGGGGAGGGCTGGGCCGACACCCCGAGTCCATGTCCCCGCATCTGCTCAGGCCACCTGGCTCTCCCACCCCCACTCCCCAGGAGCATGTGTCCCTCACGGAGCCGCCCCCTGCCAGTTCTGGGCTCGCAAGGCCATGGGCAGTGAACGCTGTGGCCGCGGGGCACCTGGGCTGGCGTGCGAGGACTGTCCTCCACCTGCTCCTTGCCCTTTCCACGCTGAGCCTCATTTTCCCCACCTGCCAGAGGTGCGTGGGTGGGCGTGTGGCAGGGAGTGGGTGGGGTGCTCACAGGCGCCATCCGCAGGTGGGGGGCCTGGCCGAAGGCTCACAGTATGAGTTCAGGATTGCAGCCGCCAACATGGCGGGCATTGGGCAGCCCTCGGAGCCCAGCGAGGCCTTCAGGTGTGAGGCCTGGACAGCACCGGAACCAGGTAATGCCCTGCGGAGCCGTGGGCTGCTGGGTTGGGGGGGCTGCGGGGGCTGTGGCCAGGCCTGCCAGCGGGACCAGTGACCCAGTCCACATTCCAGGTCCCGCCTACGACTTGACCTTCTGTGAGGTCAGGGACTCCTCTCTGGTCCTGCTCTGGAAAGCCCCCATCTACGCGGGCAGCAGCCCTGTCTCCGGCTACTTCGTGGACTACAAGGAGGAGGGCTCGGGAGAGTGGCTGACCGCGACCCCGGCGCCAACAGCCAGTCGCTACTTGAAGGTGGGCCCCTCTCTCCCTCCTGGGGGGCGCTGTGACCGCAGCCTGCTCAGGGCACCCAGGTGCGCTAGCTGGAGGACCTGGCCCTGCTGGGCCTCACCGCCGGGTGGGGCCTGCTGTGGATGGCCTCGGAGCTGGGGGTGCAGCCCACAGGGGCAACATCGCGTTATTCCAACCAAGACCCCCACCACCCAGGAGGGGCTGGGTCCCCTCCCGTTCCCAGCTCCTGAGGGACAGACCCCGGGGCTCTGTGCTGGGCCAGCGTCCATTTGGTCAGAAGTGATGGACAGACAGACACACCTTACAGGCAGGCTCGGCTTTCTGAAGTACATGCACTGCACACGTGCAGATGAGTGGGGTGCTCCCACGAACACATGCCCCACCCCACCCCCGCCCGCACACACCCCACACGCCTGCACACACACCTGCACACGCCCCACCCACCGCACATGCCCCCATACCCACCTGTGCACACACATACCTGCACACGCCCCACATGCCCCCACACATGCCCGCCCTTGGGCTCTGGCCCCCGGCTGCTGGCGTGCAGCTCAGGCCACCTCCTCCTGCTCCCGCCCTCGGCAAATCCCCGTGCTGTGACACACATCCTGGCCAGATGCTTCGCTTAGCCAGGCGGCCCAGAGCAGCTGCCCCTCCCTGCCTGCTCATGGAGCCCCGTCCCCCAGGTCAGCGACCTGCGCCAGGGCGGCACCTATGTCTTCCGCGTGCGGGCGGTGAACGCCAGTGGGGAGGGCAGGCCCTCAGACACGTCGGAGCCAGTGCTGGTGGAGGCCAGGCCAGGTGAGTGGGCAGGCGGGCGGGCATCCCGCTGGGGCCAGAGCGGCGGCTTGGCAGAGCGCAGAGAAAAGGTCTTTCTGGCCCATCAGCGGCCCCAGGAGGCAGCGTGGCACTGCCTGCCCAGCGGCCGAGGCCCACGGTCGAGGACCCAACCAGAAGCCAGGCCCGTCTCCCTGCTCCGGGGTGTGCCCCCCACCCCGCCGGCGCCAGCCAGTCTCTGCCTCCCGGGGGCCTGAGCGCTCCCCATGCCTCCCCGCAGGGACCAAGGAGATCAGCGCGGGTGTGGACGAGGAGGGCAACATCTTCCTGGCCTTCGACTGCCCTGAGATGACAGACGCCTCCCACTTCACCTGGTGCAAGTCCTACGAGGAGCTGAACCCCGAGGACCAGAGGCTCCGCGTGGAGACCGTGGGGGACCAGTGAGTGCCCATGGGCCCTGCCCGCCTCCCCACCCGCACCCCCGCCCGCCGGCCTCACTGCACGCCCGCCTTCCAGCTCCAAGCTGTACCTGCAGGACCCCGACAAGGAGGCGCTGGGGACCTACTCCGTGTCGGTGAGCGACACAGACGGCGTGTCCTCCAGCTTCGTCCTGGACGCCACGGGTAAGGCCGCTCCGCCTGGCCTGGGGCGGACAGGCTGGGGGCGCCCCTGGGGGAGAAGCCGGTAGGGGTGCCCGCCCACCCATTGGGTGGGGGCTGCTGGGGGCCGCGGGGGCGCCCTGGGGCAGGGGGCTGGCTGCTCAGGGATGGGGGGGGCCCGGTGCTTATGTTAAAAAAAAAGTGGACTGGGTGACGATGCCCAGCGCGTGAGGCAGGACTCCTCGGGCGTGTCCACACGGTCCCGCCACTCAGCCTGGCCCTCGGCCCCGCCGGCCGCACTCGGGAGCCTGGGTGCTGCGTTCGTGGGGGTGGCGGGGGCGTGGCTGTCCGGTGCCTTGTTTTTCTGCGTCCTCATGGGAGAGAAGCCCCTGCAGCCTTGGTCCTCCAGCCTCTCACCGGCGGGTCAGCCACGCTGTCACAACGGCAAGAGTCGTCTCTCCACAGCTGAGCACGCTCCGCAGCGTGTCCAGGCCACGGCCTTTGCTGGCCCCACCTCAGTGATCACAGAGGCTCTCAGCACAGCCCCTCCCCATGCACAGGGGCGGCCCCTGGAGGGCTGGTTGTATTGCCCTCCCTGCTGGCTGCCTCCTGTGCAGCACGGCCTGGCCGCAGGGCAGTGCCCAGCGTGGGGCTTCCTGACAAGGGCCCAGCCCTCCCGTGCCAAGTGTGGTCCTGTGGCCCTCGCTGTGGTAGGGAAAGCCTGGCTCACCTTCCAGTCCAGGCCACCGTGGGCCTCCCGGCCACTGCCAGTGCTGGAGGGTCAGATGGAAAGAAAGAAAAAAGGAAGGAAAAGTCAGGGAGGGGGGAGGCAAGGAAAGAGGATTTGTTGAATCTGCTGACCAGTCGTTATGAACCTGTCAGGGCAAAACCTCCGACGCCTTTTTTGATTTCAGAGCTGGAGCGTTTGATGGCGCTGAGCAATGAGATCAAAAACCCCAGTGAGTAGCCCAGGGGGTGGGGTGGTGCCAGAGTCGAGGGGTGGGCCTGGGCGGGGTGTCCCGGGCGGAGGGCTCCCCATGGTCAGTGTGGACGGGTTCCCTCCCTCTGTGCCTGCCTACGAGCTGCCGCCCAAGCGTGTGTCATCACCGCAGGCTTGTCACTGTGGCGAGTCCTGCGTCTGGGCCGAGCATGGCTGTCCAGTTGCAACGAGATGCGGCCCCGGCTGTGAGGAGCCTGGAGCCTGCACCCCGTGCTGCACAGGGCCCACGGCCAGCCGGGCCCACCTTGTGCCCAGCTTCAGGCCCCATCCCATCCCGGGGGCTGTGCTCTCCACGCATTTCATGGTCCCACTGGGGCTGTGGGTGCAGCCGGCCTCGGGGCGGGTACAAGCTGACCGGTCTCCCCGCAGCCATCCCCCTGAAGTCCGAGCTGGCCTATGAGGTCCTGGAGCATGGGCAGGTGCGCTTCTGGCTGCAGGCCGAGCACTTGTCCCCGGACGCCAGCTTCCGCTTCGTTGTCAACGACAGGGAGGTCTCTGATGGCGAGGTGAGCGCCTGCCCACCTGCACTGCCCCTCCCTCAACCCCCCTCTGCTCACCTCCACCCCACTGAGCCCCCAACTTGGGAGCAGAAGGATGAGGAGGCGGAGCGAGTGGCTGATCCCTGCCGTGCGCGGAGAGGTGGCCCGGCCGCCCTGGCCAGGGGTCATGCTTGGCCGGGGCAGAGCTTCCGCTGTGTGGAGGGGCAGCCCGGTGGCGGGGTGGGGGGGCGGCCCCCTTCTTAGCATGCTGGCCCGCCTGGGCGGTGCCCCTCCCCCGCCTCTGCTTCGGCAGCTGGTCAGTGGGTGGAAGCACTGGGCCTTACGCTGGGATCCCTGGGACCCGGCGGCCACAGGGGGCTGTGAGTGCAGAGGGGAGCCGGGCAGCGTCTCAGTGGAATCCGCCCTCCTGCCCCCAGACATACAGAATCAAGTGTGACAAGGCCAGCGGGCTGATCGAGATGACCATGGACCGCTTCACCATCGACAACGAGGGCACCTACACCGTGCAGGTCCAGGACGGGAAGGCCAAGAGCCAGTCCTCACTGGTCCTCATCGGCGACGGTAGGTCCGGGGGGGCTTCGCAGCGCCAAGCCGCGCAGGAGCCTCTGCGGGACGCCGAGTCCTGTCTCCTTCCTGCATCCAGCGTTCAAGGCTGTCCTGGACGAGGCCGAGTTTCAGAGAAAAGAATTCCTCAGGAAGCAGGGTAAGCGGGTGCCCCCCACAGGCCCCAGGGACGCGCTGTGGCTGCCAGCACCCCCAGAGCTGTCTGAGCGCTCAGGGCGCCCCCCCAGATGGAGGTGCCCAGCATGGCCGGGCAAGGCCGCTGCGCCCACCCGACCGCGCCCCCGCGCCCCTCGCCGGCCGCCCCGCCCCGCGCCTCCCTCCGCGCGCCCGGCCTTCACCCCGCTCCCCGTCGGCTTCTCTCCCCCAGACGGCGCTGCCCGGTGGGGGCTCCCGCGCGGGCTGCCTGCGCCCCGGCCCCTCGGCGCTGCGCCCCTACCGTGACCTTGCGACCTCGGCCCCAGCGGGCAGCTGCCCCTCCTGGGCTCCTGCGGCGTCAGGGCGCTCGCGGGCGGCGCTTGCGTGGCACCACCCCGGGCTGGGCTGCGGCTGCGGCTGCGGTGTGGGGGCGGGGCCGGGGCGGGGCCGGGCGGGGTGCGGGCCCGGGGCTTGGGCGGGGTTCGGGGCCGGGGCGGGGCTGAGGTGGGGCCGGGGTGGGGGCCGGGCGGGGTCTGGGCGGGGTTCAGGGCCGGGCGGGGCCGGGGCGGGGGGCGGGGCCGGGGAGGGGGCGGGGCCGGGGCGGGGCCGGGGCGGGGTGCGGGGCCGGGGCTTGGGCGGGTTTCGGGGCCGGGGCGGGGCGGGGCGGGGCGGGGCCGGGGCGGGGGCGGGGCCGGGGCGGGGGCGGGGCCGGGGCGGGGTCGGGGGCAGGGTTCGGGGCCGGGGCGGGGCCCGGGCGGGGTGCTCTGCCCGCTCCGCACTCTGGGGCTGCCGGCCGCGCCCCGAGGCCTCGGCACCGCCCGCGGGCAGCGGACCCCTCCGGAATCTGAGCTTCGGCCCCAGGGTTTAGAGAAAAAGTCCCGCCGGGGTCTGCGCTCTGTGGAAAACGCGCGGAACTCGCGCCCGCGTTAGTGAAGGCGTTTCTTCTCGCTTTGGGTCATTTTTCCTGTTCATAGTCAAAGGCTTCTATTCGCTTCTGGGCGCGCTCAGTGCGGGGCGGCGCGGGCTCCGGGGGGCGGCCGGGCGCGGTCGGGGGGCGCCGGCCCGCCTGTGCCCGCGAGGGAACCCCGCTTCCCCGCCCGCCGCCCCGGGCTCCCCGGCCTGCTCCGGGGCGCAGCACGCGCCCCACGGCCTGTCCTGTCCGAGGAGCTCGCGGGGCCGCGGCGGGGCCGGGGGTGGGGGGGGGGGCAGGGGCGCAGCGCGCACGGGGGCGTCGGGCCCGAGAGCGCGTGCGGGGCCGGGCTGAGGGTCTCGGGCGCAGACCCGCCCGTGCAAGCGCCGCCTTCGCCCCCCGCAGGCCCCCACTTCTCCGAGTACCTGCACTGGGACGTGACGCCCGACTGCGAGGTCCGGCTCGTCTGCAGGGTGAGGCCGGCGCGGGCCGCGGGGAGCACCCCGGGGCGGGCGGCTCGGGCTGCGGCGGGCGGGTCGGGGGGGCCGGGCACCCGGACGCTCGCGCCTCCTTCCTGCGAGCTGTTGGGGGCGGCTCGGACCCCCCTCGGGTCAGCGGATGTTGTGGGGTCAGCGGAGCAGGGGGAACGTGCGCCTGGGCGCGGGGCCCATTTCCAGGCCAGCATCTGACTCGTTAGGAGATAGAGGCATATTTCAGGGACAAAATGTTTCTGAACTTTCGCAGCCCAGTGCGTCCGCGTGGGAGGGGCGGCTGCGTGTCCTCTGGGGTCAGCGAAGCCCACCAGCGCCGCTCCCCAGACACGCTCACCTTTGGAATTCGCCAAAGCTTCCTTTCAAGTTCAAACTAATGTCAGGGATTAGGAGGGACTTTGGTAGGGGCAGAGCCCCGGCCCAAATGGCTTATTTTGAGCCATGTGGCCAAACTGCTGAACAGTCCAGAGGCCTCTGGAATCTGCCCTGGCCACAGATTCAGGGTGCCCTGCCCCTGCTGCCCAGGCTCCCCATCACCCGGGACCCCCGCCTCTGGCTTGCCGGCAGGGTGGGAGGAAGTGTTCAGCTGGGCTCCTGGGGAGGTGGCGTTGGAGATGCCCTTGGCCGCGAGGCCGCAGCTTCCCCCAGCCTCTGTGCTGTGGTGTGGAAGGCGGCGGGTCTCCTGGGTCTGCAGGGTGAAATCTGCAGACATTCACACCCGTGTCACTGTCCCTGTTGCGGCCCGTAGGCCGCAAACACCAAGAAGGACACCGTCTTCAAGTGGCTGAAGGACGACGTCCTGTACGAGACTGACAGGATGCCCGACCTCGACAAGGGGCTGTGCGAGCTGCTGATCCCCAAGGTGAGCAGGGAGCCCGCGGGGCGCAGTGACACCCCAGCAGCCCCTGGGTGTCCCCAGGCCCCGGGAGGTCTTGGCGCTGTGCCCACGTGCACTTTCTCTCCAGTTGTCACGGAAGGACCATGGCGAGTACAAGGCGACCTTGAAAGACGAGAGGGGGCAGGACGCCACCGTCCTGGAGATCGCCGGCAAAGGTGCAGAGGCCGCTCTGCTCTGCATCCTCCCTGCCTGCTCCCTCGGCAGCTGTGCAGGACAGCAGATCTCAGCTGTTCTGGCCCTGGCAGTGCTGGCCGGCACGTGGGGTCACGCGAGGGCCACTTGCGCCCGCCACGGATGCCGGGTCTGGGCCCCAGGGTGGCTGAGGTCGGGCCCAGGGAGGCGCGAGACCCGAGGCCAGAACACAATGTCCTTGGGCCTCGGTCCCGGCTCGCCCTTGGGCGCTGCTTCTCCTGAGAACGCGGGCAGGTGTGGGCGCTAAGGTGGAGCCACTGAGCCCTCCCAGCTCATGGCGCCCCCCTTTTAGTGTACGAGGACATGATCTCGGCCCTCAGCAAGATCTGCGGTGAGTGATGTCCGAGTTTCAGGTCTGTCGGGTGCTTCCGTGGGGTGGGCAGCGGGGTGGGGTGGGCGGCGGGGTGGGGTGGGGTAGGGCAGGGCGGATGCAGGCGGTGGGGCAGGGGGCGGGGCGAGGCAGGTGCAGGGGCGGGGCGGGCGGGGTGGGCTTGGGGGAGGTGGGGTGGGCGGCGGTGCAGGGGTTCTGGCGTGGGTTCTGGCGTGGGCTGAGCGCTGCTCAGCTGGGGCTTCTGAGGGGTGTTTAGCGTCAATCTTTTACCCAAAAAAGCCCAGCAACCCGCTTGGCCCTGTGGCCCAGAGGCTGCTTCAGATTCGCCCTTGAGCCCGGGCTGCTCTGTGAACGGCCTTGCGGGGGCCCATCAGGGCATGGGTGGCCCCTGCCTCCTGCCTGTCCCACCCCCTCACTTGGGCAGGGGCCTCCTCCTCCTTTCACCCCTCCCCGCCTCCCCTGCCCTCCTCCTTCCTGCCTCCCACCACCCCGTCTGCCGTGGACGTGGCTCCTGCTATGCCGGCTGCGGCCTTAGGTGCCAACGATGGGCAGGCTCCCTGCATGTGGGCACAGCGGGCAGCGTGCCCAACGCGGTGGCCCGGCCGGCCCCGCCCCCACCGGGTCTGTCTGCTCCTCAGGGGAGTCGGCCTCTCCCCTGAAGATCCTGTGCACCCCAGAGGGGATCCGGCTCCAGTGCTGCATGAAGTATTTCACGGAGGACATGAGAGTGAACTGGTATCACAAGTAAGCACGGGGCGGTGTGGCCTGGCCGTGGCCTGGGAGCTGGACAGGGCGTGGACAGGCCATGGACCAAGCTGGCAGCCTCCAGAGGCTGTGTGGGGAGAGGCCTTGGGCAGGGGCCATCAGGGCCGCGGCAAGGGCCAGTCGACAGACAGACCAAGAAGTCCCCGAAGACCAGGGACACTTGGCATCTACCTTCCTGCCTTCAGTTCCTTGGGGCTCTGGGCGGTGCGGTCGTTCTATTTTTTGAGGAGAAGCTGCTGCCCATGTGGAGTATCTTAAAGGCCACATCACTGGGGCTGGGAGCGTCCCCCTGTTACCATGTTGCCTTCCAGACTCTGTGCCAGACCCAGTAGATGGCGGTCAGGCCTCCTGTTGAGGCATGACCTGGTCGGCAGGGGCAAGGCTGCACGGGCTGCCCACGCCGATAGGACACCCTGACTGTGCCGTGCCCCTGATGCCCTTTAAGAGATGCCAAGGTGGCATCTAGCGAGCACCTGCGGGCGGGCGGCAGCGAGGAGATGGCCTGGCTGCAGATCTGCGAGCCCACTGAGAAGGACAAAGGCAAGTACACGTTTGAGATCTCCGATGGCAAAGACAACCACCAGCGCTCGCTCGACCTGTCCGGACAAGGTGAGGTGGCACCGCCACCCTGTGGGCCCACAGGGGTGGGGGTGGTGGTGGCCACGCCTCTCTCCCGGGCGGATCCCCGACTTGCCGGCTCATCACGGTTCCCACAAGCAAACCCGGGTGGGGCTGACTCCGAGGGTGCATGGCCCCAGCTGACAGCCCGATGTTGCCTTGCAGCTTTCGACGAAGCCTTGGCGGAGTTCCAGCAGCTCAAGTGAGTCCGGGTTGGCACCACAGGAGTGCTCTGGCAAGCGTGGGCGCTGGGGGCACGCGGCAGGGTCTCAGGGGCTGGGACAGAGGGACACAGGTTCTCTGAGCCAGGACAGGGCGCGTCCAGCTCTGCAGTCAGACACGCTGCCCTAGTGCCGGAGACCCGAGGCAGGCATGGATGTGTCAGTGCCACACGGACGTTTTTAAAAGAACGTTACATATTTGGGGCTGTAAAGAGAGTCCATGCATTTGAGCAGTTTGCAGCTCCCCGCGGCCCTCCCCCCTCCCCGCAGCCCCAGCCCCAGGTGGCACCTTCTCAGCCGATGGCCTGCGGCCTCCAGAGGGCCTGCTGGCCTTAGAGCCGCCCCATGGCTCTATGTCCCACCTTCTTTTTAAAGCACCAAGTAACATTCCAACTCTCAGCGCACCATTTTACGCAACAACTACAGATTTTTAACACGTCGGAGTTCAGATGCCCCAAGCTGGGTGCACTGAGCCAGTGAGCTGGGACTGCCCTACTCAGACACCAGCATCTAGAATATCTGAAGCCCCAGTGCCACTGGCCCCCCACCACATGGCTGCGGCCTGCCCCTCTGGCCCGAGTCTCCAGCTGCCGGGGGTCCAGGGCTGAAGGCCGTGCCACTGTGGAGGCAGCGGGGCCAGTGGGAGGCCCATGCCCTGCTCCCCACACTGCACCCCCCACCCCGCTAGCTGCACCTGACTCTTCTCACCCCTGCCCTTCTCTCTGCCCCTTTCCTTCCAGGACGGCTGCTTTTGCAGAGAAAAGTAAGTGCTGCTTGGTTGTCAGACTGGGCTGACATTGTTCTGCTGCGGGGAGTGAAGGTTCACATCTCAGAGCATGAATTTTTTATATTAAATATGAACTGGGGCCCTCCTGGCCCTGGCCCCACAGCCCCACATGGGACAGCCATGCTCTTGAGTCTGCACACCTGTGTGCATGGCTCCAGTGCTCCCCTCGCACCTCCTCTGAGCTCTCTGTGAGCCACAGGGGCTGCACCAGTCATGGCTGATTGTACCCCAGGAAGGGAAGGGAGGGGGCAGGGCACAGGTCAGGATGGGCAGGTCAGGAGAGGGTGAGGCCTCCTGAGCGACAGGAGGAAGTTGGGCTGCGGAGGTGCGGGTCCCCACGGTCCATGCACCTGGCTTTCCCTGCGAGCTGGCCTGCCTGGAGGGGCCGCTCCGCAGCCAGGATGGGTTTTCAGGTCTCGAAGCATCTGATACAGGCTGAGAATTAAGGCGTGCACATGGAGCTCCACCCCTGCAGGGTCGGCCCTCCAGCCCTCAGGTTCTGTTCACTCCACTCCCTGACAGAGCCTCAGCAGAGCAGGCCCACGCTGCAGGACCTGCCCTGGGCAGGGCCACCTCCAGCGATGTGGCTCCAGGCCCCCTCGCTCCCCAGGAACCCCTCTTCCTCCAGCCCCACCAGCCCCTTTGTGGGCTCACTCTGGGGGCAGGGTCTGCTCCTTGGTGACTGAGGTTTTGCATTACAGATCGTGGCAAGGTGGTTGGTGGGTTGCCCGACGTGGTGACGATCATGGAAGGCAAGGTAGGGCCCGCGGGTGGCAGGACACTGGGCTGCCCACTGTGGAGCCAGACCTGGCTGCTGGCTCAGCCTTGGGCACAGGCCAGCATAGCCCTAGCCCCGACCCCAGATATCACCTGGCCAGGCAGGAGATGGGGACCCCCGTCCCCAAGACTCTGCCTTTGGGCCATGGGCACCAGGCTTGGGGGCCCCTGCCCCCCATCGACCCCCAGAGCCGCCCCAGACCTGTGTGGGGATGAGGTGCACCCACCTGTCCCGCCATCTTGAATGAGCTGGGAGCTGCCGCTTCTTTAAAAAAAAATGATGCCTCAGGTTTCAAGGTCAGTTTTTAATCCATAATAGAAATGTCACCAACACGTAGATACCTGGGAGCACTTTCTTAGGTGAAAACACAAGAATTTGAGACCTCAGAGGCTGGAGCAAGCTGGGAGAACCCCGCGCACTCCCACAACCAGGGCGGGCCGGGTTCCCAGGCTCCGCTGTGCCCTGCTCACCCATCAGGCCCGCAGTCCTTGGGCTCACGGGAGGGAGGAGCCGGTCCAGCGCCGGCAGGGCAGGCTGCGGCAGCCGCGGGCCAGCTGGGGCCGGGGTGCCGCGACCCCCGAGGCCGCCCTGACGCTGCCGCCTGGCCCTGCAGACCCTGAATCTCACCTGCACTGTGTGCGGGAGCCCTGACCCCGAGGTGCTGTGGTTCAAGAACGACCAGGACATTGAGCTGAGCGAGCACTTCGCCATGAAGGTGGAGCAGGCCAAGCACGCGAGCCTGACCATCTCGGGCGTGACAGCCGAGGACTCCGGCAAGTACACCATCCACGTCAAGAACAAGTACGGCGGCGAGAAGATCGACGTCACGGTCAGCGTGTACAAGCATGGCGAGCGCATGCCCGACGCCATGCCCGCGCAGCCTGCCAAGCCCAGGCTCATCCCCGCATCCGCCTCCGCCGGGGAGTGAGCAGGGGTGGCCGCACGCGGTCCTCAGGTGGTGGCGGGGGCCTGCGCGGTGGCCTCGGCTTGTGCTGGGCGCACTAATAAAGCTGACGGCTCCAGGTCTCCGCGTCCGCTCGCTGTGTGCGCATGGTCGCCGCAGGTGCCCACTGGAAGCGCCTGGCGCCCCGGCACCCAGGCAGGCAGAGGGGTCACGCTCCACAGGGCGGGGACGCTCACCCGGGCCTCCCTTGTCACCTCTGCGGGCTCCATGGATGCTCTCCTCGACGGCGATGCGCGCTTGTCGCCCCTGCCTTGTGCCTCCCGCCGGGCCTGGGCGGTGGCCTCCGGCAGCTGCACATGGGTAGCCGGCAAGGTGGGGCTCGTGTTCTGTTGGCGTTTTGTTTCCTTTTGGTGAAAACCCAGAAGCTAGTCGAGGGATCACTGATGAGTTCTGAGGGATCTCTATGCTGTTTCCTTGGTGGCCACGCCACCCCCCCCGCTATGGATTGTGGGGTTCCCCTGCCAGCATCTGTTGTCTCTCGTCTTCGGGTGACAGCCACCCACAGTGTGAGATGGTGACTCCTCTGGGCAGGTTCTCAGGGGCCCGTGGGCCTCGTGTCCTCTGTGGGAACCTTGGGGGACCCCTGTGGGGACCTAGGCAGGTGCGTCTGGCAGCCACAGTCCTTTCTCCTTCTGGGCCTGGGCCAGTGCAGGGGTGCACGGAGCAGCCTGGGGCCAGGTGCTTTTGAAAAGAGGGAGAAAGGTACAGGGTTCTGGGGTTCTCTGGAGGAGGCCGATGAAGAGCTCAGGGCACCTAGAGGCCCCCCTTGACTGCTGTGGGCCCTGCCCGCCCAGGCCATTCCTGGGCTCGCCCAGCTCCTGTGGCCACTCCCTGTGGCTGCCCTGGCCTGGCTGCCCTGAGTGCCCCTTGGGGTCACAGCAGGTGGCCCTGAATGGGCACCCAGGCCCTCAGCAAGCAGGAACTGCCCTCAGCACCCCCAGTGCAGCCATGGCTCTGTGAGCCTGGTGGTGGGTGGGAGGGCACTGGATGCTCCAGGGTGAGCCTGGCACCCACTTCTCTGAGCCCTGATCCTCTCTCTGGTGGAGTGAGCAGCAGCTCTCAGTGACTCTTCCCTTCACACGCGTTCTTAGGGATGAGGGCACCCGGAACACTCTGACCTTGGTGTCCACTTGTCTCTGGGGCCCTGGAGCAGGCCTGGCCTTGGCCCCTCTGCAGCCTGTGCCCCTGATCACACTGCCCTCTTCCTGCAGGGACAGCAGCTCGTCACTGGTCAAGCCCCGTGCTGCCTGGGTCCACCCTGGGTCAGAAGGGCTGGACGCCGGGCCCAGGCAGCAAAGGGAGGGAGGAAGGGAAGGGGAAGTGGAGTGGGGAGCATGGGCTAAGAGGCCCTGGGGAGAGGAGGGGCCTGGGGAGAGGATAGAAGGGAGGCCCTGGGAGGGGGCACTGGGGGGATGGGGAAGGCCCCCGTGGAGGCCCTTGGGACATCCCCAGCCGGGCAGCACAAGGCAGGAGCCCAGGCTGGCCTGCAACCAGCTCCTTCCCACTGTCTGCGACAGCCAGACCTGGTCAGCAGGGGTCGTCACCAGCACCCGGTGGCTCGTGACAAGCCACTGGAGAGAGGTGGGCTGCTGGCCGAGCTGGACTCGGGTCCAGGCTGGCATCTGCGTGGGGGGCCCAGCCTCGAGAGGGCCATGTGTGCACCACGTGAACGTGGCCTGAACACCCAGTAACACGTGTGTCTCTGTGTGATTTTTTTCATGTGAAATAGTTGCTGAAAGACAATGAAATAAAAAGTGGATAGACACACAAAGGTCCACTTGATTCCATCAGTGCTGTGGGAAGGTGCTGGCCATGCAGGGGGGTGGCTGACGGCGCTGAGGAGCAGCGGGGTCTTCCCTCCATGACACAGACACTGGAAATGCCCCCACAACTGCCAGTGCCCAGTTGCCTCCTTTCTTTTCAGTATGTGTGGCTGCCCTACCTCATTGCACGTTTATTTATTTATTTTACTTATATCTTTTACATCATTGTTCATTTTTAAACATTGCTTCCCCACCTCCTCAGATTGAGTCCCCATAGAATTTCCTTCCCCAAGACCCCGTGCACCATCAGCTCAGTCCCTTGTGCTCCTCCCTCGGATCCCTCTCCCACCTCCTCCCCTGCAGGATGTCTCTGGTTTATGATTGTCTGTTTTTATTTTGTTGTGTTTTGTACTGTTATTATTTTTTCCCCTGATAACTTATTTGGGTCCCCTATATTCCTCCTAGAAGTGAAACCATCTGATATTCCTCATTTTCCTTCTAACTTATCTCACTGAGCATAATTCCTTCTAGTTCCAACCACATTGCTGTGAATTTGGCACGCCACACAACTGATAAGGGACTGATGACAAAGATGTATAAAGAGCTCACACAACTAAACAAGAACAAAGTAAACAATGCAGTCAAGAAACAGGCAGAAGAACTTAAAAGATGCTTCTCCAAAGAGGAAATGCAAATGGCCAACAGGCATATGAAAAATGTTCAACATCCCTTATATCAGAGAAAAGCAAATCAGGGCACTTTATAAAGTGTCTCTAAGAGAGCGCCTGCAGTGGACATGGAGACCATGTTGCAGGTCCCAACGCCCATGTTCTTCTCATTGCAGAAGGAAGGCGGCCTGGGCTGTGTGAGGCTGCTGGAGGCGGGTGTGCGCTCCAGGCGGTGGACAGGGCTGCAGGAGCAGGAAGGGGCGGCAGACTCGGCCTCAAGGCCTCGTCCTGCTCGGGGTTCACCAGACAGCCGGGCGCAGAGGGGACACAGCCCACGGGACAGAGACCACAGCCCCACCAGACCCTCACTGTGGCAGTGCCGTGGTTAGGGCTAGGGTCAGGGTCAGGGTCAGGGCTAGAGCTAGGGCTAGGGTCAGGGTTAGGGCTAGGGTTAGGGCTAGAGTTAGGGCTAGGGTCAGGGCTAGGGTCAGGGCTAGGGTCAGGTCCAGGGTCAGGGTTAGGGGTCAGGGTCAGGGTTAGGGGTCAGAGTCAGGGTCAGGGTTAGGGTTAGGGGTTTGGTTTGGGTTAGGGTTTGGGTTAGGGGTTAGGGTTAGTGTAGGGGTTAGGGTTTAGGGTTAAGGTTAGGGTTAGGGTTAGGGGGTTGGGGTTAGGGTTGGGGTAGGGTTAGGGTTTAGGGTTAGGGTTAGGGTTGGATGGTGGGTGAACTGCGGGTGGCCAGGGCGTGGCGCTTTCTTCCCCAGTATGTGGTGTAGGACCACGGGCTCGGTAGCAGGGGCACGTGGAACTTGTGGGTCTCATTTGTGATGGTGAAAACCACCTGCGGATAAGAGAGGGTGCTGCGTGAGGCCCTGGGCGCCCACCGCGAAGGGCTGAGGGGGCCGACTCCCCCAGACAGCAGGCCTCAGGGCCCAGCTCTCACGGGCCAGTGGAGAGGGCGGTGGGTTAGGCGTCCACCGCCTGGGTGAGTCACCCTTGCCCTGCCCGTGCCCGGGGCCTGGGCTGTGAAGTTCCTGCTGCCTGGGCTGGGCCCCTTTGTTCTGGAAGCTCAAAGCCGTGGCTGTCAGGGCCCGCCCGGGGAATGGCGGGGCTCACCTCCACGTAGGTGTAGAAACTGGCCTGCCCCCGCCTCCTCCAGTAGCCCTCCGTGTCGAAGAACAGCTTGTAGGTGCCCACCTTCATCTGGCCTGGGGGCAGGAGCCCCGGGCAGCGGCCGTCCAGGTTGGTGTAGCTGGGGAAGAGGACAGGTGCTGGGTGAGTAGCTCCATGGCGGCCTGGGGATCCGCGCGGCGTTTTGATGCAGCACCCGGAAGGGTCATCCCAGATATCTTGAGGGCGGCCATGGGAAGCGGGTGAGGGGGATGATTGCTTTTCACACCTTGTGAAGTCCCTTAATTTCTAGGCACAGTGAAAGGAAGGGGTCAGGGGGTGCTTCTGGGAGGGAGGAGGAAGCGTGGGGGCCACAGCACTGGTTTGGTGGAGGCGGGACGCAACCCCAAAGCCAGACAGGTAAACAGAAGTCAGTGGAAAATAAGGACTTTAGAAAGGACCTTTGTGGGCTGACGGGCCTGGCCCCGTGCCAGCCTGGGGGCTGCACTGGCTCTGCCTCCGGCCTAGTGGGGGTCTGGGCATAGCTGGCGGGAGGCCCCGGCCAGGGCAGGACTGGGCGCCCCAGTGTGCTCCAGGGCACTGCCTGTGGGGCTGGGGCTCAGTGAGGGGGTGCCTGGGTCCTCTGAGGGGGGCTCTGGCAGAACTTCCTGTGCGGTGGCTCGGTGACTTTATTAAGGAGCGACGTCTGCGCAGGCAGGAGCTGCCTCCTTGAAAGGGCACATCAGTGAAGGAAAAGATGCCCACACAGACGCAGCCGGGCAGCCCCAAAGCACAGGACGTAGCCCCCCACTCCCAGCAGGCCCCGCTCGCTCCTGGTCCCTCTGTGTGCAGTGGCCAGATGCTCTTTCGCCAGCTGTCCATGCCCCCCCTGCTCCTCCTGGGGTTCTCTGCACGGGTTTGGGGCTGCTGGGGAAGAGCCCGTGTTCTTGCTCGGCCCCAACGCTGGCCTGAGGCAGACACAGGCCGCCCCCAACCTCTGTGCGCTAACGGAGGGCAGAGCCACCTGACCCCTGACGCCGGCCGGTGCAGCAGGAGCCGGACGAGCTCTACCGCAGGTTCGGGCGGCCGTGCTCTAGGTGCAGTAGAAGGCGGGCTTCCGGAACCTGGTCCTGGAGCACAAGCTGCAGGCACTCGGTGCTGCTATGGAGAAGAAGGAGGTGCAGCTCAGCGAGGTGCTGGCAGCCTCCAACCTGGACCCCGTGGCCCTGACCCTTGTGTCCCGGAAGCTGGAGGTGGGTCCCGCAGTGCCCGAGCCCCTGCCCTGGGGACCCTCCTTCCTGGCCCATGCAGGCCATGGCGGCCCCTGCGCGCCCTAGCTCATCAGCCTTGGGTGGCCTCTCTGGGGTCTTCGTGGCTCCTCAGCCCCTCGCGCCCTCTCCTTCCTGAGCCCCTGCCCATTGGGTCT